AGAGCCTAAACAATTTACCCATGGCTTCACTTCATTTAGGGTAGATAGATTTCTAACCAGGTTCACTAACTCAATTAAATAATCTCTCCACTGTACAGAGGGAACTTGTATAAAAGAAGGAAATAATATGTATTTACTGAAGAAATAAGAAATGAATTTAGCTGACTTAGTATGAAAAGGAATGTGAGTGGATTATCCACTTTCCCCTACATGCCAATTATTATTCTTTCTGAACTGAAGCAATTTTTCTTTCATATATTAAAGAACTTGATATCATAATACTTCTCTCAAGTAATAAGTGGCTTTGATCCTTAGCTCTTATGAACTTTATGGGTTGTTCCGAGGAAGATATTAATGTGCACAAAGGATTCCTGGGCATCTTTTAAAAACAAATTATCAAATAGATGTTAGTTGAAATATTTCACTCTTTTTCTCCTATAGTTCATCAATGTAGTGAATTACATTGTTCAATTTTCTAATAGTAAATCATCCTTGCATTCTTGAGGCAAATGCTATGTATTATACTGTATAATTACTATATCATGATGTGTAGTCATTTCATGATGTACTACTCTTCAAACTAATATGTTATTTAGAATTTTTGAATCTATATTCCGAAATTGAATGGTGTGTGTGTGTGTGTGTGTGTGTGTGTGCGTGCGTGCATGCATGTGTGCGTGTGTGCTCACGTGTGCATGCCTGTCCAGGGCCTTAAACTCAGGGCTTGTGTGCTGTCTTTGAGCTTTTGTGCTCAAGGCTAGTGCTCTACCATTTGAGCCACAGCGTCATTTCTAGCTTTTTTGGTAATTAATTGGAGATAAGAGTCTCATGGACTTTCCTGCCTGGGCTGGCTTCAAACCACAATCCTCAGGTCTTAGTCTTAAGAGTAGCTAGGATTACAAGCATGAGCCACTTGCACCTCTCTCTCTCTTTCAAATCTTGACTTTATTTAGATTTAGAATCAATTTTACATCAGTCTTTAATTTCCACAGTTCCTTTAAAAAATCAAACTATAACATTATATTGTTTATATATATATATATATTTTATTTTATTTTTTGCCAGTCATGGTACCTGAACTCTGGGCCTGGGCGCTGTTCCTCAGCTCTTCAGCTCAAGGCTAGCGCTCTACCACTTGAGCCACAGCACCACTTCCAGCTTTTTCTGTTTATGTGGTGCTGAGGAATCGAACCCAGGGCCTCATGCATGCAAGGCAAGCACTCGACCACTGAGCCACCTTCCCAGCCCCTATTGTTGATATTTTTTTATAATACCCATCTTCAATCCAGGAATGCGTGTCTTCTGGTTGGTAGGCTTATGTGTATTCATTATAATTCATTATAATTAGTGAACTATTAGAACTTACCCTATCATCTTATTTCTATTTTACATTCTATTAAAAAGTAAGGAATTACTGTTTCCCATACATAGGTCCAAGTTTTCTTCAGCTGGTTTAAAGGGAAACATTCTGTATTTATAGTAAGAACAACAGTGGTGGTTGCCCTCTACCTTAACTTTATATTTACATATTTGTTTTTTGTTAGTGATTTCTTAAGTTTATGTACAGCTCTACTGGAAGAACACCTAAGCTGAGAATCCAAAATTTGAAATGCTCAAAAATCAGAAACATTTTTTGAGTATTGACATGACACAACAAGTGGAAAGTTTCATACCTGACTTTATGTGACAAATCACAATCAAAATGCAGGTGCTTAAAGTGTATGTGAATCATAAATGAATTTCATATTTATATTTGGGTTCTAGTCCCAAAGTAGCTCATCATGTATATACCAGTATTATAATACCTGAAGAAAATCCTATGTAGTCGTGGAGATGGGAGGGCAGGGATGGTAAGGGAAAAACAAAGGAGGAGGCAACAATGCTTGATAAAAAATGTACTCATTACCTTGCCCATGTAATTGTAACCCCTCTGTACTGTATTTTCACAATAAAAAACTTATTAATAATAAAAAAAGAATTAAAAAATCCTAAATCTTCAACATGAGATGCTCAACTTTCTTCTTTATATAAAAGAACATTTACACAATTAAATATGCTCTTGATTTCCTTTAGAGCCACATATCACAAAATTAAATAGAATATAACATAAATGATATTCCTTGAGCACGTGTACAAGCACTTTGATATCTTTTTGGTTTTTAAAATTAATTTACTTTATTGTTATTAGAGAGGTGATGGACAGAGGGATTTCAAATACATGAGTCTGAGAATAAGTATATTTCCTTTGTACAGTGTCTCTGTCCCTCCCCCTGGCTTCACTCATGAGTTGTATAGTTCACTTTCATCCATGTGCAGCCAGCTCCACTGTTGTACTTTTTCACCCTTTTTCCCTCAAGTTCTGTACCCTCTCCACAACCCTTCCGAAGATGTACACTTGAATGCATCATACATAAGATAGAGAAGACAGAATCATCAAAAACTAAAAACTGGAAAAAAAGAAAGCAAGAAAAAAGAGAGATGTCTTTGTTCCCATACCTTGGAGTTAATTTCAATATGTATATTATTTTATATAAATATGAAGCAGCACTCAGGCATTGTACCTTTGTGTTTCTCTCCTAAGAGAAACCATGCATTGCAGCCCTTATTGTTTCCAATTTTACAAAACTCCCTAGAGTCAACTTGATTCAGGTAGCTGATGACCTTCTGTTTCAGTATTTCTTATAACATCCTCCCAGGTAGCCCTTTTCATTTGAATACATCCTCTAGGAGAAATTTTAATGTCAGGCTTTGCAGGTCTGAGGATATTTTTGTTACGCTACAATATTTGAATGACAGTTTGGCTGGATTTAAAAATGACAAGGTCAGGCTCTGTTTTTCAATATTTTAAAAAGTGTTCTTCATTGTTTACATTTAGTTTTGTTGTGGACCAGTGTGCAGTCATTATACTTCTTGATCTTTGGGTGTTAATAGATTCTTTTCTTCAGTAAGATGATAGAATTTCTTCTTTGGGAGTAGTTGTTTTAAAATTTCATTACAATGTGTCCTGGTGATGTTTTTTTCTTCCCTCTACTATTTCACTGTCTCTGTCAGTGTACAAAATTTGATTCATCAAAGAACTGTGGGCTTCTTCTTTACCTCTTCTTTCCCTAAGAACAGGGATTTACCCCTAGGGGATATTCTACTGAATCTCTCCAGATTGAATGATTGAATTCCTTATTATTAAGAGAAAACATGGTTGACATTTGTCTTTTAGTAATTCTAAGTTATTGAATATATATTAGTGTAATTAATTAGAGTTCCATCTCTTAACAGATAAACTTGGATCTGACAGCTAGCATATCACCTAATAACCCTGTGACAGTGGGCAAATGAAAATTTCTAACTATTATTTGTTTCTTGGAACAACTAGATTCAAGTTTCTTCACCAAGTTGTTATATGTAAACTAGATGAACTAATTTAAAACTTAGAACATGAATTCTGATGCACAGCAAATAGTTATTATTACTTCATGAAAATGGTTACGTTAGGCCTATGGGGAAAATAGGGATGAACAAGACAAAGTTCTTTATTTCATTGACTTAGATGAAATAAGACAGATAACTAAAACAAGATCAATAAGAAAGAGGCCTAGCAAAGTGGGTACCCTCCTAAGAATCTATGAGACATATAGAACTATTTCTTCATTTTATAACCATGGAAACTGAGACTAGAAATTCTGTAATTTAGTTAAGGCAACATAACCAGAGAATGACAGAATCTTGATAGGAACCCATGTCTCCTGGGTCTGAGCCAGGTCTGTGCTAGTGCTGCTAGAAGAAATTTCTCCCTGAGCCCTAAGGCCTTGTGATATAACCTTCCCATCCTGGGCCTTCCTTTGTCCTGAAGTTCAGAGGTTTTCCATGATGGTTCATAACTCAGCCAGGAGACAACCTTCTCTGTCTTTTGAGTGAATTGTGTGAACATTTCTCCTCAAACCACCAACCCATTAGAGACAGTAAGTTATAACTTCATTAAGGAACATGAACAGGTAGCCAGTAGGCTACAGTTCTCTGTAAAGCATTGGAGAGAAAAGGAGAAACCGTGAGATATCTACAAATCATTTCATAATTTACCATCATTCATCCAATAGATAAAGCATTCCAAGAGCCAAGAAAAGAGGGATGGATAAGAGTCAGGAGCTTGGGTGAGTCAGAACATTGCTCACCAGAAAAGGTACTAATTGAGCTGAATTTTGGAAAAATGAAGGTTATTTTGGAGGTGGAAGGAGCCTGTAAGCCTCACACCTATGCACTACAGGTGGTAAACTAGTTGCTCTTCCTTGAAGAAGCTTCTGGTTAATCAAGTGAGGACAGTAGAAGAGAGATCTTCTCTCAGTGGTTTCTTAGTGTGACTACCAGTCTCCTTTGAGAAACTAACCCCATTTAAAGAGTATGAGTTGCGTCTCTGTTCTTCCCTTAGTGAGTTGGCCCCTTTCTCTGTGGGCATATTGGCCATCAGAGTCAGTGTCAACCCTCCCTTCCCCCATAGTTAAGCACTATTAAATCTCGCCACTTTGGCGGGGACTGGGGCAAGAGGAGGGGCCACTGAATTTCAAAATGGAATAACAGAAAAGCAATATTAAAAGAACAAGGAGGCTGTGTAGTGAGGCTTGAAGGAAGGACAGGTGTTTCCTCCCATGGCGAGAAGCATTGACCCTTGGGAATTGCATTTCCTGTTGAGCAGACACCCATGGCAGGCCAAGACCTGCCAATGTCTTGGTGGTGTGTAACTCTGTATGAACACCAGAGAAAACTCAGAAATTTCCAGAGGGCCTTTTGGGCTCCTTCTTATGTGAGGAGGTCCAAGACTTGACATGGTGCTCACACTGTTCACACTCACACACATCCTCGCGCTCTCACAACAGTCAGTGGCCGTGTGTGAGTGGCTGCGGCCTTCTGTTTTGTGGGGTTCTTAGTCCCAGCTGGCTGGCTCCATGCATGAAGCACCCCACACAGTGGGGGGTGATAGGCAGCATGGCTGTAGAACAAGTGCACTCGTGCCTGAGGTGGGAGGATGTGATGACGCGGCCCCACACAGCGGGAACTCAGGCCTTTAAAAAGCCCAGGAAACAGCCTCAAAGCAAGCGGTGGTTCCACTGGAGGAAAGCACACCCAGGTCTTACAGTAAAGAAGCCAAACTGTCTGCTTCAAAGAGAAAAGGCAACATCCTGTCACAGGCCATGCTCTGGCAAAAATGTAAGTGGGTTTGGCTGTGGCTGTCAGAGCCAAGTAAACAGAGGCAGAGAGGCTCTGGGAGATCACCTGTTGGCCTAGAATTTGGGAGCTGGTGGGGCATCAGGGTCTGGGTTCCAAAATGGGGAGCAGGGAAGAGGTATACCTGATGGAGAAAACAACCTGTTAGAAGTGATGCTGATTTTCCAGACTGGAGGGAAACTTGTGTTCCCAAGATGGGACAGCTCATCACATCTCCGCCCTGTGCATGAATCACTGTGAAGAAAGGACAGTTTATGATTCATAAGATAAAAGCCAGATGTGACATGGGTTTGGGGCTGGGAGGGGAAACCATGCAGTTCTTCACATGAAGAACTTTGTTTTTATAGGCAGCTTTTTTCCCCCCCCCCAGGTGTAGGCCTGTTTCTCGCTGAGTTGCTTAGCTTTCTATCAGAGGTGATTTGTTTCTGTGGATGCATTTGGGATTAGGTGGAAACTTGCTTGTGTGAAGTAAGTCTTCATTCTGCTGCCTCTTGTGGCTCCCATTCTGTGAAGGCTTGTATATCCCACTGCAAAGGGGTAGCAGGTTTGTCATTAACCTTGAGTTTTATCCTTGAAGTCAAATGGAACAACTGTGAACTTTATTTTCCATTCTGCTGATTGAAGGGAGATTCAAGTTATTAATGATTGAAGTGATACAATCGACAACATTCATTGCTGTCTTGACGTAAACATAGTTCTTTCAGCAAGAAGTGTTGCCCAGAATTGTTCTATGTTTCCTTTTAAGGTTCTTAATCTTTTTCAATGCCCTTTGATAAGTTTAACTTACCTTGTGTAAACTTACTATAAGAAAATCTAGATTTACAGAAAAAAATACAAAGCATTAATTTTTTAAAAGGGATAACTGAAAATATAAACTTCATTAGTTAAAATGTAACTTGTAACTACTACTTCATCTTGTTGTTGTTTGCTTCTTGTGGAAAATCTCAGAAAGTGAGTTTGTTAATGTGTGAGTCACAGGAGTAAAAATTTCTCAGGTTATTAAGTCCCATAGATATTAGAAAGATGCATTAAAAACAAACAGAACTGAACTTGAATATAGACTTGATAGTTATGAGTCCATAACTCATTATTGTAAGATAATAAGGAATATCCTACCAGAAGGAAGATGGAGCAGTATCCCATCTCTGGAAGCAATGGGAGCTGACATCACTGGAAAGGCTATGTCAGAGTAGATGAAACATAATGGCTTTATAGGGGGATTCTAAGTGATTGTATGCTTTTTCACATACAGCTGAATCATTTGGGTTTTGTGTGAACTCCTTTGTTCAATTCTTAGGGTTTTTTTACCCATTTAAAATGAGGGTAAAATAACTCCTTTTTACAGAGCTGGCCTTCGTAAGTGATAGTGTCACCAACAGGATGCTAACAGCTCTGATTGCTCTCAGCATCTGAGTTATAGGATACTTTACTACATACCCAGAATGCCATGTCCTCTTCTTTGTTTTCTTTTCATGTCTCCTGAGAGATGAATAGTTTTTTTTTTCTTTTTAGAAAAGAGGCTGTTGGAGAACATGCTTTTATACACACCCTAGGGCCATAGATAGCCAAACTCCATTGTAAAAGAGACCACATTGTGAACTCATTAGTGGGATGACTATGGTGAACATTTCCACATGTCCAGATGAGTACACATGGAAATTCTCTTTAGTTAAACTTTTAGAGTCTTAAAATTAGGAAAGGCCTCACACACTGCATCTAGGCCTTTCTCCTAGACCCAAGTTGTGGGTTAGGGCACCCAAATGACTATACCCTGTGGGAAAACTAGTAAAAACAGGGCGGTATCATCAACCCACTTAGAATCACCCCCATGGAAGGGCAAAGTTTGAAATCAGACACCAAAAGCGCTGAAAAGGCACTTTCTTTTTTCAGAAAACACCCTTGAGGCATGAGCTGAAATGACTGTACCCCAGGTTCTGGAAAGGGTTAAGAAAACATTTGCTTTGTAAGTGTAGCCTCCTCCCTACCTGGCTCATGACTCCTGTTTGTAGACTTAATGTGAACACAGGTTTTGGTTAAGATCAGAGATAATTGACAGAGCTCAGAGATACCAGCAAAGAGAAGTGGATCTTCCTGACCATGAATTTCAGATGTGCTTATTAGCCAGTCAATTGGATAAAGAAGTGATTGGCCTGCAGATTTTCTCCCTGGGTTCTGTACTTGGTCCTCTCAGTCCATGTAAGTGAGAATTAGCATCCACCCAACAAGTAATAGTGCAGTAGAAATAGCATGGATGTCAGGCAAGACAGAGCTGGGTTTGACAGCTGGTTTGACAATTGAGTTATCTCTTTTTTCATATTCCTTAAAATCTGAAGATGGGGATTCTAATGTTTTCCTCACTGTAAGAACTAAAGTGGAGAATATTGGTAAAGTGATATTTAGTTCCCTTATAAGCAGTGACAGTGATTGTTAGTATCTTCCTACTGGACATTTCTGTCAGCCTATTGACTGATCAGGGTTATGCCAGTTTCCTTCTACTCTATATCCTTTTATGACACTTTGAATAGAATAATTAAAAGTCCTTATAAAATTATTCTTGAGGGACTGGGAAGGTGGTTCAGTGGTAAAGTGCTTGCCTTGCATGCATGAGGCCTTGGGTTCGATTCCTCAATACCATATAGGTCCTGTGGCTCAAGTGGTAGAGTGCTAGCCTTGAGTTGAAGAGCTGAAGGATAGTGCCCAGGCCCAGAGTTCAGACCTCACAACCGATCCCCCCCCCCAAAAAAAATTCTTGAGTGATAGGATCTAGGGTCTAAACCAAAGGTCTGCCAGTACAGTCCATGTACCAATGTGGGCCTGCTGCCTGTTTTATAAATAAAGTTTTATTGAAACACAGCCATGTCTATTATTTGTGTATGTTTAAGGCATGTTTCAATGACAGAGCTGAATAGTTGGAACAGAGAATGTACAGTACACAAAGCCTAAAATAATCACTATCTGGCTAGTTATAGGAAAGGCTGGCTAAGCTCTGGTCTTCCATGATTTGATTAGTACTTTAGGCATTTATTTCCCCAGATCACTTAGTATCCTGGGCTTGGACAATGTTAGCATCAGTTGTAGATAAGATAATTAGAAGATGATTTGGTCAGTGCTTAAAATGAATTCAACTGAACTTCTTCCTTAAAAGTGATAGAATTGGGCTGGGAAGGTGGCTCAGTGGCAGAGCGCTTGCCTTGCATGCCTGAGGCCCTGGGTTCAATTCCTCAGCACCACATAAGAAAAAAGCCGGAAGTGGCGCTGTGGCTCAAGTGGTAGAGCGCTAGTCTTGAGCTGAAGAGCTGAGGGACAGCGCCCAGGCCCAGAGTTCAGGCCCGACGACCGGACCCAAAAAAACAAAAACAAAAAACAAAAAAAAGTGATAGAATTGTGTGCAATGAACTTGACAGTCTTGGTAGAGAGAGGATGGATTAGACAACTGCATTTCATTGTTGTTCCTTGCGTTAGGAAAAGCTCTACATGATAAGGAAAAACAGCTTAATTGATATTCTTCAGTTGTCTGGTTGGCTAGCGACTGTGGTATATCTTCACTATCGTGCCCAAAGAGGCACCTTTGGAACGGGAAATGGTTATCAGATTTTAATGGCACAGATGGGAATTTGCTTCCACAAAACTTGAACATAGCCAAGGCTTAACAAATAGATAAATTAGGGTCTCAAAATTCTCATTAGCACAAAACACTGTACTAAGGATTTATTCTAGGATTCCACTAAATAGAACACATTTCTAGGGCAACAAAAGAGAAAATGTGAAATACTTTCTGAACCTGAGAATCTCTTGCATAAATTCAGAGGCATTTATGAACAAAAAGTAATTTTAAATACATGGACAACCTCTAATATTTCTGCTCTGGTTGCAACTTTTACTTATTTAATGAGCCCGATAAATACCTTTACTTCTTACCGAGTTTATGCATCAATTCAGTGGTGCATGTTATTAAGGACAAATAGAATCCTAAGGAGAGACATAAATTCACAAGCACCCTTTTCAGGTGAAATCAAGGCCATACACAGCATACAGATTTAATTGGCAAAAGAGCAGGTGTTTTTCAAGGTTTATATTTTACTTCCTCCTTCTTATATTTACCAAAGAAAAATGCCAAATTTATCCCCTCCCCATACTCCAAAAGTTACTGAGTCAGAAAAATATAAAACTCTCTTCCATTTCACACCTGGAAATCTGCCTTTTGTGTAAAAAAAATCAAAATTATCTATGCTCATTCACTAAATGTCTGAATGTTTGATTCATTAGCAAGTTCTGTAAATATTTGCTTTTAACTTTCCCATTACAAAAGGTTTTTTTCTTTCTGACTTCTTCCTAAAGAAATTTATTTTTCTGGCTAACTGAAGATGTCCATCAATTTGTCAGGCTAAGCCAACGAAAACAAAGTTGGTTGATTGATTATAATCGTTAGTATAGTTTTCACATTCAAGAAATATTTAGTAATATTCTAGTTTTCTCATTTTTTGAAGGAATTTCTTGACAAAAATGGAATTGGCTGGCACAAGGGGAGATTCTCTATTCCCCTCCTCCCCTCCCCCGCCCCCCCATTGGTCATGGGGCTTGAATTCAGAGCCTGGATACAGTCCCTGAGTTCTTTTTGCTGAAGGTTAGTGCCTCTACCACTTTAAGCCACAGTTTCACCCCCAGTTTTTGGTGGTTAATTGGAGATTTCACAGACTTTCCTGCCTGGGCTGGCTTTGAACCAGGATCCTCAGATCTAAGCTTCCTGAGTCGCTAGGATTATAGGCATGAGCCATGAGCACTCAACTGAGTCAAAATTCTCTGAAGTTCTCTTGTCCTGGTTGAGGGAGACTTTACTCTTGCCTGCCAGAGAAATGAACTGTGCATTCCAGTCTACAGATAATAAGATTTGAGTCTTTGGCCAGCCATTTAATCCCTGTGGGTCTCAGATGAAATGAAACTACCCTTTTACTTACTAAGGAGACTGAGCTTGTTTGAAGTTC